CAAACTCTGGCATGTTTTGTTTCCATATCAAGTATCTGATAATATTTTCTTCTTCTCCTTTCTTCTATGACATTTGTTATTTAGCAGTGTGTTCTTTAATTTCTAAATATTTGACATTAATTCAGAAATCAGTTTTATACTGATTCATACTTTAAGTGCATTATGATCTAGATATGTATATTGCATGATTTTTATTATTTCAAATTTGTCTCATAGCTGAAAACTGGCCTATATCCACATTATCAACTGAATGCTTGTGTCTCCTCAAAATTCTTATGTTGAAATTCTAACTTCCAGGATGAAGGTATGAGGAAGGGGCTTTAGGGAGGTAATCAGGTCATAAAGGTGGGGCCCTCCTGAAGAGAAACAAGAGTGGGCTGCCCTTCAAAAAAACAAAACCCAGGGGCTGGGGATGTGGCTCAAGTGGTAGCGTGCTTGCCTGGCATGCGTGCAGCCCGGGTTCGATCCTCAGCACCACATACAAACAAAGATGTTGTGTCCGCCGAAAACTAAAAAATAAATATTAAACCCTCCAGGCTATGGTAATTTGTTACAGCAGCCCAAGCTAACTAAGACACTTGGTGAAAGTTCCATATGACTTGAAAAGAATATGCACTCTGCTCTTGCAGAAAGATTATTCTAGGTGTCAATCAGCCTGAGTTGATTGCTAGTGTCTTCCAAGTCTTCTGTACTCTTAAGATTTTTCTGTCTAAATGTTCCATCAACTTCTATTAGAATAATTTTACCTATACATAAAAAGTATGAACAGTACAGTTCCCACACAACCCACACCCAATTTTCCATATTAACACCTTACATTAGTATTGTATATTTATCACAATTCACAAATCAATATTGATACATAAAACCCATACTTTATTCAGATTTTCTTAAGTTTTCCCTAATGTCTTTTCTCTATTCCAGAATCCCACCAAGGATACCATCTTAAGTTATATGTCTCCTTCACCTCTTCTTGGCTCTGACAGCCTCTTGCTTTTTGATTACTTTCACAGCTGGTCAGGTAGTCTGCAGAATGTCTCCCCATTAGGATGTTCTGGTAGTTTCTGATGGTTGAGGTCTTTGAGAGGAAGACCACAAGGTAAAGTGCCATCTTCAATGTACACTACCCGGGACACACACTGCCAACATGACATTATGTGCAGTCGACTGATTATCTGGCTCAGGCAGTCTGTCAGGTTTCTCTAATGAGAAAGTACTTTTTATTCTTCTTTTCCATATTGCACTCTCTTGAAAGAAGTTACTATATGCAACCCACACTTCACAGAGTTGGAAGTTACATTCTAACTCCTGAGGATGGAGTACCTACAAAACCTATTTGGAAATCTTCTATGAGAGAGAGATTTATCTCTTCTTCTCATTTATTTTATTCAAACATTTATATCATTATGAATTTATGGACAGGTCATAATTTTGGCTATAATATAATACTATTTTATTTCACAAATTATTTCAGCTTTGGCTATGGGGAGCTCTTTCTACCCACTCCCTTAGATAGCTGTCGTGTGTGTGTGTGTGTGTGTGTGTGTGTGTGTGTGTGTGTCTCTAAGTACTTCCTTATCTTCTGTGGCTATAGGATGTTCCAGACTCATCTTGTATGTTTCCTGCCCTAGTCACAGCCATTTCTCCAAGGAGTCCTGGTTCATCAGAAAATATTAGAACTTGCTTTATTTTGTATTTGTTCCTGATGCCATGTCATTACTTTTGGGCTTGCTCAGTCACTGTCTTTTTTGTCTCTTTGTATTTCATTATGGATCATTTCTGATATCCCGTGCTGATTTTCTCCTCAGTTATGTCAAAGTTTATCAAAAAGCTCAGGGCATTCTTCATTTGTGCTACTGTTTTCCATTTCCAGCATGTCTGTAGATCCCCATCTCTTTGCATACTGCCCACTTTACCCACATGCCTTCAATATGTTGATCATATTTATATGAAATTCTCTTTCTGGCAGTTCTAGCATTTTTGAGTTGAGGTACGTTAATACTTTCTCTCAAGACTTTGTTAGGAGTCTTCTCATCTTATAACTTTTGGTTGATAGATGGACATCCAAGTAGGAGAGTGGAAACTGGTGGACACAGCATTTATACAGGAATGGATCCACCTTTTTTCCTAGGAGTCCAGATGAATCAATCTAGTCAGCAGCTAAGCTAGGTTTGGGTTTTATTGTTACTATGATTTCCTTCAGTGCACTAAAGACTTTAATTTTGTCTCAAATTACTTTGCATTTATGATTAGGGCCAATGTGCCAAGTTTTTCCTCAATGTCTGCTGCACCCTTAGCTGAAGATCTTCCCTTTAAGCTTGCTCCTCCCCACACTAGCCTTTCCTATGGTCTCAAACTATTGTTACCTGTTCCTTAATACCTGGAGGCCTGGAGGAGAAGGACAGGGTAGGGGTGATGCTCTACTGTGTTTTTCTGGTTTGGCCTCAGTCTGAGGGTCCCTAGGCTGTGGAGGTAGGGCATCTCTAATGGTCTAGACCATGTGTTCTAGCCTCTATGGTCTAGACCATGGTCTAGAACAAAATGTGTTCTAGCCTCTCCCACAGGATAGAACCCTCCCCCTACCCCCACCCCAGGTCTCTTCCTTCTATTACAAATAGTCTTCATTGTGTCTTCAGAGTTAAAGGGGCTGCTTCCCTTTCCTCAGGGGCTTAGGAGTCTGGGACAAGAACAGAGAAGGATCCTAGTGAAAAACTGCCTTTCTCCCAAGGCTGCTGTTCCACTTCTGAAGGTGGTCCTGTGGTGGCGGCTCTCACTCTCTAGCGTTGGCCCCCCTTCCCCTCCCAGTACTCTCTGAAGGGATTGCAGGTGTATGAGAATCACCTGGGTATCCATACCTCCCAGGGTTTCTTCACTCTGCTGACCCTCAGATACACTCAGATACTCCAGAAATTAAATAATGTATTACTCCAATGTTTATTTAAAAAAATCTCTCTGACCTATAATTTTATCAAGATGAAGAAATTATGCATGAAAACATACCTCAGGTGCCACAGTTAAAGATCTGAACCATAATATGCACTTACCCCTTCTTATTGAGTTTTATTCAAACAACCTGGAATCATTTCATTTTTTTTTCAACATCTGACTTCCTGTTTCAATTATTCTTTTTTTTCAATTGTTTATTCTTAACATTTAAATTTATGATATTAACTTACACACCTCTACTTATTTCTTTTTTCTTTTCTGGTACTTAGGATTGAACCCAGGAGCACTTTAGCACTGAGCTACAGCCCTAGTCCTTTTTGTTTTGCTAAGTTGCCGAGGCTGATCTAGAACTTGTGATCCTCCTTCTTCGCCTCCCGAGTGGCTAGTCATGCACCTCTGCACTTGGCTCTACCTGTTCTTGACCATAACTTTCCAGTACAATTTCCCTATCTTAAAGCTCATTATTCTTATTTTTCTGTTTGGTTCTGGTGAAGTCCTCATTAAGTAACTGTACCCCAGGAATAGCACAAGATGGAACACTGAGTTCCCACGGGGGTGAAAATGCCTCTTCTGCTTTTGTACATCCAGAGTGCCTTGGGCTCACAGCCGTGCCCTTAAATGCCAATATTTATTCAGCTTACAGATGAGAAGCCTGGCAATTGACTGGATTTACAAGTAGCCTATTTTCATTATCCAGACATTTGTAAGACTTCTTTTCGCCTGGGATTCAGAAATTTTATCGGGATAAAGCTAAGATCTGAGTCTTATTTTAAAACTTGATCTTGCTTGGTATTTTGTAAATCGTTCTCATGTGAGGACCAAAGTTCCTTTTGGTCAGAAATTTTCCTCTATTTTTTATTTTATTCTTGTCTTCTGTGCTGTTTAAGTGATACAATTATGCGTCTTTTTTCACTTTCCTATGCAAAACTTTAGGCTTTTTCTTGGATTTATTTCAAGTCACAGTAGTCTGTATAAGCTTCACAGTACAACCTGATATGTTTTTAATCCACTGATGGAGAGAGATGGTGTGATGGCCTTAAAGCATGAGCAGCAAGGCAGTCTTGTACCATTTGATTAATGAAACTTAAGTTCTTGATTATATGACTTAAATTATGCTTTACCGGGGCTAGGGTTGTGGCTCAGTGGTGGCGCGCTTGCCTAGCATGTGTGAGGCACTGGGTTCGATTCTCAGCACCACATACAAATAAATAAAAAATCTAGATGGCTAAAGATTCCACATGCCAAGGGCAGACTCTCCATCTCTTCATGTCCCCTGGTTCACTGGATGTATGCAGTGAGGTAGGGAAAATTCCAATCTGTAAACCATATATTCCCAAACAGTTACATACACATGCCTCTTCAAGTTCTCTTGCTTCAAGAGCAGTTAGAAAACTGTGACAAAAAGTAAGTGCAGTAGCACTGGAGAAAACTGTCAAGAGTAACAAAACACATACCTAAAGAATGGTCCAGGGACAGGAGGCTACACATAGGGAAAACATTCTATACTCCTGATTGTGAAATACTTAGCAGCAGAAATCTTTTCTTAAAACCTTAGCCACCTGTCCATCTGTCTTAACCAGCCTCCGAAACTGCAGCACCCTCACAGGTAAAACCCAGAACAAACAACCCAAAGTTAGGATCTGCAGAAAGAAGCAGGAAATGCAAACAGTCCCTGAATCAACACTTGTAGGAGGGCTGCCCACCATCCAGGAACACCCACTTATAATTTTCATGAACAAGAAACAAGCTACTTAGTGTTTGAGCCACTATCTATGGTTTTGATTTGCCTACTATCGCTTTTATTTCAGTAATATTTCTAAGTACTATAAAACCCAAATAACTAGAGTCTAAATAATGCTAGTAAATCATATTTATCAAACCACATTTTCCAATTGCACCCCCATAATACACAGCAATCCTATAACTATTATCATTCACACAGAAGATTCAGCACCTGACACTCAAGAGCATGCTACTGTGGCTTATCTACCAAGACCTTAACTTAGCTTCTAAAAACAACATGGATCGCTTCATATGATAAAAGGACAGCTTACGTCGGTCGCCGTGTCTCAAGCAAAGTCAGCAGAATCTGGATCGCACTGACTATGGCTGATTCATTTTTCTCCTTATGGAAAATATTTGATAGAAGCTGCTCGATGGTTTCTTGCCTAGGGAAACAAATCAACAGTAATGCACTGCCTACAACATCATGTCATACAATAGCTCAAGAAGGGCTTACTGCACATGGGCATCCCTGTTTCACATAATTTACTTTGATATACTTATTAAGGGAGGCAAGTGTTTGTGATTATAAATACCACTCTCATAGCTACTGATTCCTACCCAATCCCCCCAGCAAAATAATCTGGGCCCTGTGTCACTTTGGTAATCTTGTTGAGACCAACAAGTATTGCAAGGCTGGATGTCACCTCTGGCTCAGATGAAGGTGGTGGTGATAGCTGAAGGAGATAAAAAGACTTAGAACGCCTCACCTCCACATAAGGAGGAACACTTTTCAAAACAGCAAATTAGAAACCATAAATGTTTTCCCACAAAAGTATGAATGCAGAATTAGGAAAGCTCTAAAATGGGTAAAAGAGAACACCAATCACTGCCTTTTACTCTATAGTTAAAATTTGGTAACCTATTGCCCCAAAAGCATTCTCTGCAGGCTCTTCCCATTCCACTTCTCTCTCACATATGCAAGATCACAAGCAATGGAAGACATAAAGGTAATTGGTACTTCCAATTTATAATGGATACCCTCCAAGAAAACTTAATATATTTCAGTAATTTTCCAAATCAATGTGAATTAAGAAAAAGATCTCCCTTATAAATGTGACACATAGCTAGATTGTCCCTGGCTACTCATCTAGAAAGTTGCCAGCCATCCCAAGGTATAGCTGTACTCACTGCACTGCACATCAGTTTCACTAACCATCTCTTTCCAGACTCAGGCAGCAAGTAAGAAAGAATCCTATTAGGGAGAAGCAAATAAAACTGGTATCTAATGTTAACTTCAGACGGTCCCCTTGCAGGAAGTCAATTTCAGACCCACACTCCCAGAGCAGCACTAAAATGGATTGGAAGACCAATAACCAAGAGTACTGTAAATGTCACACAAGACACTGAAGTCTATAGAATCTATGCAGGTCAGGAACTGTGCACTGGAAAACAGATTGCCTTGTACAGTATATATGTACATTCTTCAAATGGTGGCTCACTCCAGGTGGAGGGTACTGGAGCACACACCTGTACCTGTCCACATTCTCCTCATCCAACAGCAAGAGCACTCTTTCTATTAGACAGCAATGTCACACTTCCACACCTGCTAAAACCTAAAGTTAAAGGCTAAAAGGCCTGAGCATTTCACGGCTACATCAAATTGGAAGTCTGCCTTATTCATGAAAGAATTGGTGATGGAAAAAAACAACACAGCAAAACCTTGATCATCAATAGTCAACGATACAGTGGATATGCCATTTTTGGAGTCTTACCTAAACACAAATATCCTCAAATACAGAGAAAATCATAAACCTAAAGGACTAAGCTTATCAAACAAGGTAAAAGGAAATGCCTTCACATTCTTTGGACAAAAAGGCATTTATTTACACGAGAGAATATATTCACTTTTCTGCTTTAAAAGACAGGAGTTACTGGATAAACACCAATAATTTATGCATGAAGCCACCTAGGTTCTTTACCCTATCTATGGGGTAATGGCTCCTCCTAGCTTCTGTTTTTACATAGGTGGCCACAGAAAAGACCCACTTAAAAAAAAAAAAAAATTGGTTCAAATGGGATAAAGACACATATAGTCCAATCCAAAAATAACTGTTCACTCACATAAAGAATATTTGAACTCCAAAATTTTCCAGAGCTACTAAATGGAATGCACTCATTTAAGCCCAGACTGCCTCCCAGGCTGAATATTTATTACTAAACACTTTAGCCCACTTAACCACATTCTTTACCATTCTCTTTATCCTCAGCTCATTTCAAACTCAACCCTGAGTATAAACTTATATTCATCCACATGATAGTACCCCATCTGTGGGCTCCTGGCCACTGTAATACAGAATTAGGCAATTCATTTGTGTATTATGAACTACCAGAAGATTGGTTTAAAAATCATCTACACTGTTATGAAATAATTACATTTAAATAGATACTTTACATTATTATATAATGTACCAAATATATACAGATGCCATGATGATTAACAAGGGTTTCTTAAACTCACAGAAGTCTTCTGTCACTGTGTTTTTCATAATCAATGGACAATAAAAGAACCATCACAATGTGGGAACATACCAGGAGATGGAAGGTTTGATTCCCATTCCCTATGAGACTGTGGGAAGCACAATGAGAGATGGTCTCTCCACTGTCAAGTGCAGTGGACATTTTATTTGGTGACATCACAGGGCCACTGACTCATCAGGTCCTTGTATTTGAGAAAATTTACTTTAATATTGCATGATACAAATAACGAGCATATACTTATCTTCATTCAAGAACTTACCATTGACTGAGTTTTAATTACAAAAGCAAGCAGAAACATGAACCCCAATGGCTCTCTGGCTCATACATTTGGCTCAAATAAAGCTGTGTAGATGGAGGGCTGTGGTGGCCTGAGGAACTCAGATCACTATTAAGCTGTCCAATGTTTGGGTTGACTCTGCACAGGCCACTCACTACATGTGGCCATCAACTGACACTCAAAATGGAACTCATCTGATTTGACATGTGCTAAGTGTAAAATACATGCTGGATTTCAAGACTTTTATATAAAAGCATTGAAATTGTATGTGGCTTTTATGTTTACTGGACAGCAACGTAATATACAATATGAAATTGCTAATATTCAATATTTTTAACCAACCTAAATGGGACTTTTAGAAGGTTCAATCTAAAGAATAATATTAAAGATTTGAACGTAGAAGGTGTTGTATGTTTAAAAGGAGTATGTATGGCCAAGCACAATAGTGGACATATGTAATCCTGGCTACTTGGGAGGATGAGGCAGGAAAATCCCAAGTTTGAAGCCAGCCAGGGCAACTTACTGAGACCCAGCCTCAAAATAAATTAAGTAATTAAATAAATAAATATGTAAAAAGAAGGTCTAGAGATATAGTCCGGTGGCAAAGCACCTGTGGGTTCACAACAAAACAATAATACTTATTCCAGTTCAGGTCGTCCCCTGTTAATATTTCCCCACTTTGGATGAATAACTGGAATAAGTATTGTTAACATTAACACTCTATAATATAACTATTAGCTGTTTGGATGCAGGTCAAATGTCTGCACATGTTGACAGTAAACATTCTACCAAAAAAAAAAAATATATATGTAATAATATCACCCCAATCTGGAAAGAGTTCAGGTCGCCCCTAGTCAGCCCAAGGACAGTAAACCCTAGGAAGATCTTCTTGAGAAACTGCCAATTAAAAAGGGTCAAATTCATATGTACCCAAGACTATTCTTCATCAAAAGCTCCTGGAGGTGTTGACTACAGCTTTGATGTGACTATCATATCTTAGGATAGCTCTGTAGACTTCTATGTTACACATGTGACAAGTTCGAAGTCGACACATAAAGGTCACTCGTTCACCTTCATCCCCTGTGGGTTTCTACTGTGTGCCACAAAGGCTGTATGAGAAGCAGGCTTCCTGCCTCTTACCACCACAGGTGTTTTCAGGACACAATTCCAACAGGAGGAACACTTCACTTACCAGTCACTCTTGAGGTAACACATCAAATAGCACCAATAAGAAAAATGAGAACAAAGTTTTAAACATACTTTTCTAGAGTGGCAAGCAAGGGGTCTGGTTCCGTACTGTTCTGAACTTGTAACATCTGGTCTCTGCTCAGGCGAACGATTTCACAAAGTGACTGTGAAGCATTTGAATGCCGCTAAAGAAAGAAAGTACAATTTTAGTTATGAACCTGTTGGAAGTTAACCTTATAGAAAAGGGGGGGGGGATTTCTTAAGAAATAACACAAATTAACACTATCCATAAGCTTCCATGAGCAAGAAGTCAATCTGGAAAGGAGCTCAATGTAAGCACTTGCTGTTCAGGCTGAGGGGTTTTCCTTTACAGTGCTGGACACTGCTGTCTTGCTAGGTACAGCACACGTGATTCAAGTTTTGACCAGGAGAAGCTCCATAATTAAACACTTGGAAAGAACATCTTCCCCAAACACACTTTCATCAGCATCAACACATGGACATGCTAGCTTTAAAAAAAACAAAAACAAACTCCTCAAACAACAGGAAATACAACTTTGAGTAAGACACCAATGGTAAGAGCACTAAACCGTATCTCACAGTGCAGAGTGGGCTTGCCTGCCTTCCAGGGAAGTTCTAAAATCTCAGGATCCACATGCGTTACACTCTGGCATGTGAAACAGTGAGCACTGTTCCACTTTAGCAAAGGGGGTAATGCACCAGGATCGACAAACCTTCCCACTGGAATCAGGAGCCTAACACTCCTTGATAAACAGTAACTGGTCAGTGCAGCTTCAATTTGCAATCTATCACTTAACACAAAACATGAATATCAGTAAGTCTGTCCAAAGGCAAAACCAACTTTCTTCAGAGTAAGGCAGGGAGGTGCTGAAGTCGGCATTGCTTTGTCTTTCTCAAAGACTTGCTGCAGAACTGGTATTTTCCTTTATCAATTTCTCCTGTACCCCGCCAACATGTCTTATATCCTGTTAAGCAATCAGGTTGTGCCATAGACCTTGTTTGTAGAAATTATTCCTAGAGTGGAACAGGCCCTGCTCTTTACTGCTCACCATACTCTGCAGTGGCCACACTTCCAATGTGTGAGAACAGTGTTCCTGCAACAACAGGCCCACAGCAGGAGAGCTCAAGGGGTACTCCCTTAGCACACAGCACAGGTCTATGCAGGGATGCGGTTAGAATGCCAACTCTGGCAACAGCAACAGATGTTACAAAAGAGCATGTACTGAACATCCCAAGAGGAAATGAGGAGGAGGTGACACTCCTTTTCAAAGCTTGGTTAGGATAAACTCCAGGTACCAAAAGGTTTTAAATGGACCAGAGTAGAAGCAGTTAGATCCATTTAAATTCCACAGAAAATTCACCTCTGGGAAGTGAATACCCTCTGGCTATGCACTTCTTCCTTTGCCCCGCTCCAATCTGCAACCTAGAGGCTTCTCGACACAGCCTGCATCACCCTATGGGGAAATGATGATGGGACAGAAGGAACTATGTAGGTGGAAGGGTCAACCACGGGCAGTCTTACATGGCTTGGCCTGATAAGTGAGGTGACAACTTTACAGACCTCAGAGAGACACACACCAACTGTGTCATGATAGGTGACTCTTCAGAAGAGGGCTCGATCTGTAAGCTCCAATGCCAAGACAATCTTTAGCATCCAGGGCAAAGGCCAAATCCATTGGAACATTAAGTCCAGGATCAGGAAGAAAACAACAAAGTTACCAAAGGGTATGATGGTGACCAAGATACTGCTAAGTGCAAAACTTTAGCCAGACTGGATGAAATGAATATATTGTTTGCGTTAAAAACAGGTATACAAGAAAAGGAAGTGTGGACAGAAGAGGTTTGTAACCAAGGGAGCAGGTTCAGCATGAACCTGCTGAATCATATTTCTGGAAATTTTCTGGCTTCAAGCAAAATGTAAAATTATTTATAAAACGGTCAACTCAAGAATGACAGATTATCCCAGCAGGTCTGGGGGCTGAGGCAGGAGGATGGCAAGTTCAAAGCCAGCCTCAGTAAAAGCAAGGTGCTAAGCAACTGAGTGAGACCCTGTCTCTAAATAAAATACAAAATAGGGCTCAGTGGTTAGTGCTCCTGAGTTCAATTCCTGGTATTAAAAAAAAAAAAAAAAAGGGAATGCCTGTTCTGCTCCCTTCTCTGTTATCTTCTTGGCTATACAAACAAGTATGTTCTGTGCTCAAATAAATATTGCCTGTATTTTTTAAAAAAATCAAATTTATAGGCACATAAGAGAACTTACATCTTCTTCTTGCGATGGGTGAACTATTTCCACAAGCCTCTGGATGATTTTCTCCTCATTTAACCACTGCAAAACACATTGTAGAAGCAATCATAGCAATGAGGGACTCCTGTTTAAGCCCCAAGGAAGATTAACACACTTGGAAATATCCATCACATTTTAAGTAGAATGTTACGGGTTTCTCTGGACTTTGAACACTACAGAAAATTAAAAGTCCCCCAAGGAAAATGCCAGTGAATATATTATTTTAACAGTAACCAAGAACACGAGCAATACCCCAAATTACAGTACCTACATAATTTACACATAATCTACAGTACCCACATAATCTCCAGCCATAGGTAGCACCTAGACACTCAATTCAAAGGGTCTTACTTTGGCAGGGGTTGGGTTGAGGGGGTTAAGAAAGTTGGAATGTGCATACTTTGTTTAAGAGAGATGTGTTCTTAGCTTCAGAAAAATTGATAAGAGCCATACTTAATATCAAGCTTCTAGGTCAAGAAAAAACAGAATGAACAAAATGGGCCCTTTAGATTCCAAAACCAAACCCACTTCAAGAAATACAGGGGCTAGGCAGTGAAGCCACCATGGAATCAGAGTTCATCTGCCCTATCATGTTGGCAAAGAGTCACCAGCACAATCCTAACAATCTCTTCTTAGTCGCTACATGAAATGCAATGAATAAAACTATGAAGAGTGTTAGAATAAGAAAAAAAACAAAGAGACCTCATGTATAATGGCAAAAAAAAAAAAAAAAAGAAAAGAAACAAACAAAAAACCCAGCTGGCTTAGTATTAGTTCCATAAGGAACTGAAACAGCATATATAAAGGCAGCTCACCATCTAGAAACTCCACTAAAGAAATCCCACTGATTAAAGGGAAATAGACTGGGTGGGAGGCACGGAGCAAGAAACCAAATACAATTTGCCCAGAGAAGAAACTCTGATAGCATCTCTGGTTCCTCAGGAAGGATATATCAAAATAAAATGTAAACAAAAGCTATTAGGCAGGCAGCACAAAGGGAAAGGCCCAACTTTGTACTTCAGGGGCTGGGGTTGTGGCTCAGTGGTAGAGTGCTTGCCTAGCACACGTGAGGTACTGGGTTCAAACCTCAGCACTGCATAAAAATGAAATAAAGATATTATGTCCACCAAAAGGAGTGCATAAAAAAAAAAAACTATTTAAAATGTGCACACGAGTCACCTAGAAATCTTGCTCAAATGCAGATTCTGATTTGGCTGACAGGGGAAGACCCAAGATTATGGATTTCTACAAGCCTCACAGGTGATGTCCTAAAACAGAGGACACCAAATATCTGTGTGGGAGGGGCACTTCTGACTACCTTGGAGAAGCTAGGAGCCCTGATGGAGAACTCATCAGACCTGGAGCCTACCCCCATATAACTACCCATAAGCACCTACATTCCAAGCCCACTTTTAGACTAATCCCCACCCCCACACACACACACTCAGGATCCAAAATCAAAGTAAGACATTCATAAGTTTCTAATTAACCTTCCCCCAACCTGTGCCTTTATTAGCCACTTGACCCCCCTCCCCACCTCGAGAAGAGCCCATTTATTCTTTTGGAAATGGAATCTAAAATTCAACCCAGAGTGGCCAAAGGAATAAATCCAATTTCCCTATAATGATCTAACATGAAGAAGACAAGACCCTCCTCCCCCTTCCTCTATAGTCTTTCCCAAAATTCTGAACCTCTTTTTGAGAAAAGAAGCCTAAATTAGGTTTCCCAATTTAAGGCCCCTGCCCGCAGGCAAAACCCGAGACCCCCACTAAGTGCACTCAGCTGGTTTCCCCACAGTGACTGCAAGGGAGTGGGTCACCTCAATAGATCTAGCCCTGATCCCATCACTACAAACGCATGCCCACCCACCTCAGCAGAGATTGCTCCACACTGGACAATGCCTGACAGACCTTCCTCTCACAGATCCTCCTGTGTGTTTAAAACAGCATTTTCAATAAATCTCATTTCTAGTGAAATGAGTGAGTTTTAAGGTCCCAGGGTAAGTATTAAGAGATGAAATGGATTAGGAAACGGTTCCAGGAGGCAGAAAAAGAGGAGGGGGATAAAGGAATAAAGAACAATCAGATGAGATGGGACAGAGGAGCATCCAGGAGAAGCCTGTTTTCAGTATGAGTGACTCCATCCCACCTAAGACATTCACCTGTTCAGGAGACACACATCTTAAAGTCACCATCTGTCTACATTTTAACATATGTCCATGTGATCTCTCACTTCCTTAGGCCACGCTCGTAAGTACACCTCTTTGTTCCAACTTTCAGAAGCAGGCCTGTCTATCCTCTCAGGAAAGCCAAAGAGCACACACTGCTGACACTTCTACTCCTACCACCAGACCCCGCTTTGTCAGTCTCAATTCATTCTACCTCGTCACCCTCACAAAATACAGATCTGCAAAGGGGAAAAAACTGCTCACGCACCATGTCCCACAGACAAGGAAAGGGCATCTCTTAAATTCTAGCCCTGCAAAATGTCAACCTCTTTCTTTCTTGGAAAAATTCCTTCCCTGTCCCCAAGTGCCCCAGACAACCTTCTGTGACCAATCCCCTGGGACGCCCAGCATTCACAGCCCGGGCCCACACCATCACCCAACCAGGTCAGCAGCAGCTCAGAACTCTACTCACATTCAGCACATCTTGCCTGGGCTGTGGAGGCTCAATACATGTCAGGAGCCGGAGCAACAAATCCATGATGGCAGAAGTTCCTATATGCTTTATAATAAGGTCTACAAAATCCCGTTTCTTCTTTAGGAAATCCACAATCTAGAGGGAGAACACGTAAAATATGGAACGACATGTAATGTGGGAATTACAATCCTGAGAATGTTTTAAGTACTGATCAACACTCCCTCTAAACTTCTACCACTACTTTAGGCTAAGGAAAGTAAATGCTGGGTCAGAAATTAGGTGTCAAACTGGAAACCTTGGCTAATGTTCCAAACTCTTAGGAGAAAGCTCCTTAACCAGTACTCATCCCTTAGTGCAAATACAATATAACAGAATCTTATTTCTATTTATTTTCGTTGTTAATTCTCAAAGAATAGGGATAAAAAACTTAACAGTTCTTAACAATTTTTTTTTAAAAAGTACTAAAAAAAACCAGTCCTATAAAGAGAGAGAGAGAAAAAAAATAACCATTGTATAGTTTATGGATATAAATCAATTTTATTAGACTTAACACTAAACTACAGAATATTCAAAATCCTAATTATACTCCAGTAAATAAAACAATTCAAAATATAAGGATTTCTATTTCAAAGTAACTAACTCCCCTGCTATAAGACTGGATTTCACTTCAGCAATTCACCTGATTAACAAGAAGGGTGCTGATAGGAGGCTGAGGGTAGCTATGCCGAGGCAAGTTGAAACAGTAATGGAAATGAGGGCTCTGTCCTGCCCTGTAGAGCTCTCTGTGCCCTCTGATTCCTGTCTGTGTGCTTCCACCACCTTCCAAAACCCTACCATGTATCCCAGGAGCAGCGTGGCCCAGTGTGGCAGCTACTGCCAGAGAATCTCACTAAGCTCGGTGGCTGGAGATTGAATAAGATTCACAGATAAGAAAACCAACATTCAAGCAGGTTAAGTATCTTCTAGAGCAAAAAGGTGGCTGTCCTGCAATTCAATCTCAGCCTGTAAAAGCCACAGGCTTTCCAGAATCCTGCATGAGGAGTATAGTAATCAGAGATGACAACAACAACAGCTTTACACAATTAAGCACAAATACAGGATTCATTATCACATTCTGCTTCCCAAACAATATTGTGACATAAACCTTCAAGAAGTGACTTATTTACACCACTTGAGTCTCAGTAGTTATTTGAAAGAACAGTGAAGGAGAAAGAAAGAAAAAGTCATGTGACCCAAACCTTCCATGATTCAATGGCAAAAGCACTGAACCTGAAGCCTAAAGGCATGCCAACCACCACTATGGGCAGCACAGGACAAAGATGTACCACAGATGGTGCCAGGAGGTGTTATACCATGCAACACTGAAGTCCTACAGCTGGGCCCTGCTCTATAAGCTGGACAATGTCTTCAGTGACCATGCCACTGAATGTTTGTCATTACCTATGCTGCAAGACCTAATATTGTCATGCCTTTATCTACACTTGTAATTCTCAAAAGGACAGAGGATCCCCATTTGACCTTTCTGTGAAGCTAAAAGACCAAGAGCTGTCAAATCCTCTCATTATCATTCAAGGGGTTCTGCACAGAACTACAATGAGCAACAGGGTGACAGGGTTCTCTCCCCACCGGCACATGCCATCACTGCCACACAAAGGACATGTCTAACTTTGAAGGCCAATACAAACACTCAAAGCTCCAAAACATCTTGTGGGTTGTCACCCTACAATTTATGCACACTGAAAATCATGGGTCATGATTTGGGTCCCAATGGTACAGAAATGAGGAGAAGTGAAGCAATAGAGTGACAAGATAGTTCGCATTCTTCTAAAACAGCCAGCATTACTTTTATGTCTCAACAGAAGGCAAAAATGGAAGACAATCAGTATGAGCAAACCTCAGTTTGGAATTATTATCTAGGGCAAAAGAATAATATTTCCAATATACTTAGGAAGGTTATCCTATGGAGAACTGACACCATCTTTCTAAAATAAAACATGTGTCCATTTTGCCTTGGCATAGGACAGAACATGCTGGGCCCAAAATAGTTCCAATCCCTCCATGTGTGCTGATAGCAAGGACAAGTCACCAGAGCCTGTTTTCTACCATGAAGGTCACCAGGCTTGACTACTTTCGCCCCACGTCATCACACCCCTACTCTTCTGCAACTCTGACACAAATATCATAGTCTGTAATTGAGCATCTGAGGCTCTGATTGTTCTTGTGCATCTATTCCCATAAATGAACTGGTAAACAAATCCTTTTTCACACCAAGGTCCACTAGAGAAATAGTACTCAAATTTTAGCATGCATCAGAGCTGAGTTGGAAGGCCAGCTAAAAACCCAAACTGATACTAGGTGTGGTGGTGCACATCTGAAATCCCACTTGACTTGGGAGGCTGAGGCAGGAGGACTCCAAGTTCAAGGCCAGCTGGGCAACTTAGCGAGACCCTGTCTCAAAATAAAAAATAAAAAGGGCTGGGAATGTGGCTCAGTGGTAGAGCACTCCTGGGTTCACTCCCCCAGTACTGCAAAAACAAAACAAATAAACAAAAAGACCCAAACATCTGGGTTGCTGACCATCTCCCCACCACCACCCAGAGTTTCTGATTCAGAAACTCCAGAACTTGCATTGCTGACAAATTCCCAGGTGACACTGAGGATTCAGGGATGACACTTGCAGAACCACTGCATACATGAGATACATGGAATCAAAGTCCTAAATACATATGAATTAAGGAGGGAGGGGGAGGGGGGAGAGGGGAGAGAGGGAGAGAGAGAGAAGAACGAGGAGAGGATTCCTTTTATAATATCGATGATAGAGCTCTTTTCTATACTTTCATGATTTTACAGAAACGCTTTGGCCTTATTTCTGCACTGGAACTGACTCAAACCTCCTAAAATCTGTACAGTGACAGATTCTGATTGGTGATATATTCGAAGATTTCTTTTTCTTTCAGTTAGTGGATATAACTGAGCCAGTGAATCTTGTTGACAGTTGATTTTTTAAAAAATGTTTTTACTATAAAAAACAATGACTATTATTTCAATAAAATTTTAAGCAAGTTCATAAAAATGTAGTTCCTGCTTTATAGGCATATTATGGGGTCTAATTAGGAAATGCTTTAGAAATTCTTAGATGAAATATCTGGGGAAAAAAATAAGGTCTACAAAATGTATTACTTTGGAAAGTATTACTTCAATGATTGTTAATAAAAGTAAATTTGATTTTTTTTTCTGGTATTTGCCTACATATTTTCCCTATAAGAAAAATAAAGCCTTTATTAAATGAAAAAAAAAGGAGGAGGAGGAGGGGAGGTCACAGCACTACTAGACAAAAGCTGCAGAGCTGCATGTCCATCTGCATTCAGATGTCTCAAGCTGAATGTTTAAGATTCTTAGAATCAAAGTGAATCACTATTTAGTACAAAGCCAATCACATTTGTGGGAAAGCTTTTAAAATTTCATTTGTGATAAAATTGTGAGGGGTTGGGGTGGGGGACAAACCAAACAAAGCAACCAGCGCTACTAGGACTTCATTCACATATTCCACTGCTTGATTACAAGCCACAGGGCTATATACACAAATGGGTACCAGTATTCTCAGGCTTCCAAGTACTTGTCAAAAGAGAAAATCATTGTGTGCTAACAAATTAAGAGAGATCTGAGGTACTTAGAATATATCACATGAGAAACATTCATTAATATATAAATCAGTGTTAAGTCAGTGAGTACTCAGAATGCTTAAGGCTTAAAAATATTCTCATGTAGAACCTGGACTTAAGGCAAACTCAGGACACTACAGCAATAACACTACTGGGGAGCATCTAGAGAATGAGTGGCCCTAATACTTACCTTTTAAAAAACAGTATTTACCTGTTCTGGTTTTCTGCTGATAAGGATACTTAGCACCTTGCTGAAGAAACTAGCGAGTAGTGGGTTCAGAGGGGAATCATTCAGGAGGAAGCTGTACAATTTCATTAGCAAGGATTCATCCTCCCCCAATCGATCATTCATCTGGGAGACATCAGAAGTGAGCAACTCACAAGATATATTTGGATACCTAGAAGAATAGGACATCATATCATGTTAACAGTTTACTTACATTAAATAAAACACAAAGCAGGAAGGCTTCCCAACAGTTTGCAAAGACAACAAAATCATCTACTGGGAATTAGAAAATCATTTTGATAAGTTCTATCCAAACTCTAGATTATAATAAATTTTCTACTTTGTCTAAAATTTGTTTTTAAAACAAGTTTTAATAAGAACACATTTTGCCCTATAAAACTAGAGCATCGTTAGGACTCAAGAACCAAGGGAAATCACACTGCAGGGGTGGATCTTCTCAATTATCACTGAGGGCAGAGGCTAGAGATACAGCTTTCAGCAGCTTGCTCTGGCACAGAAGCAGCACAGTCCACAAGGGGCTGTGAGGGCCACTGGATTCTGGGAAACTGTGAACACAGCACCTAGTAAAATGACAAGGCACACTGCAGGTACCTGGACTGGCCATCTCCATTTTTAGATGGGGTGCAAATGGTATTACAAAGTTGTTGTTAGGCTGCCAAGTGCTAAGCTTGTATTACATCTCAAGAGAATACATTGAGCAGGACAATAGGAAACCTCTGTTACAAGGTGAGACGCATGCAGATGCCATGCTCTCCACCCGGGCCTTGCTCCATCTTTAGGAATTAGTACAGACACCAAACCAGCTCACTGTCACTTCTTGCTATTCTCTTACTCAGCAGGACACAGGCCGCCCACCCGCCCCCCCCAAGCACCAGGACGTCTGCTCTGCAACAACTTCTGGCTCTTCCAGAGACCCCAAAGTTTTAGAAATGCCTGCAGCACCTCCATGCCTCTCACCACCAGACCACTCACTCTGAAAAACAGACAAGAGAGCCATGGTTTCCACTCACTCCTTCCACCACCACTATTTCTCCTTTGCTGTCAAAAGTCACAGTGGAAACTCTTCCAAACAGTGCTCTATCTGATCTCTACTCCAATGTTCCTCCTTATCAGGAGCCAAGAGCCATAGCCTCAACTACTCACCAGGAGTGGCAAGCTCAAACAATGACCAGGACAGGGAGGTGACAAACCAGCCAAAAGTGGCTGCATGATGAGAGCAAGTAAGGACCATTCGCCAGAAAGTGTGTGACACACCTGAGGCATCCAAGGCAAGCTGACAGTTGCCTGATGTGAGGTGCCTGACTCAGAAGCAACCAGCAGCACACCACCAGCCACAGAACCCCCGAGGGTCTCCAGTCAGGCCAGACGACTAAACAGGATGAGAACGTCCACAAATGAACTCTTGGAGGAGGACGAAAACATCCCTGGCAGATGTGTGGGCATGAGGATCACATTTCCAAATAACAAACTTCTGTAGGGAATGGTTCGATTAAAGTCTCCCTCACTTTATGGCACAGGCACCAAAGGGGCCATTTCATAAACTCCTTCCAAAGTAGGATAATTCAGTGGTTAAGAGTTATAGCTTTTGAGTCACACCATCTAGTTCAAATTCTATCTCCACACTCACAAGCTTATACCTTAAGCAAGTTAACCTCTCTGTGCCTCAGTTTCTATGTTCATCATAGTATGGCAATGATCCTTATCCTGTGGAGGAGCATAATATATTCAAACAGACCAGAGCCTGGCATAAAGTAATTTAAATGTTTAATGAATAACTGCAGAAATGCTCCTGTGAGGGGCTGTGAGGGATATACTGTCTCAGCTGTCCCAAAGTGAAACTTACTGGCAAATAAAAGATTAATAAAAGGTAGCAGACTCAAGCTGACAGCAAATCCTACACCTGGATGTCCTCAGATTCTGAGCAGAAGCTCCACAGCCGGGCAAGGCACCTTGGAGCTATTCATGTTCCATAGGTGACAGGAAGGTGTGAGCTACTCAAGAAGAGTGTATTGTGGAGTGGGCATTACATGGAAGCCCATGTTCTGGTTCCAGATAGGCTGGGGCTACTGTCTTTCCCTCCCTCCGTAACATTCAATAAATCTCTAAGGTACCCAAAGGAGCCCTCCACTGAACCCTGGGCAAGTGCCCCCAACCTCTCTTCCTTGTAATGAAAACAGAGAAGCAGCTAGAGGGCCAGCCCTACCCACCTGACGTACATCTGCACCCCTCCTCCCCCTTGCATGGGGGCGGTCCCTGCTCCTGGAGTCACCCTCCACTTGTCCTCCCACCTGCTCCATAATCCTTCCTTCTCTTCAGGACACCCACACACCATCATCTCCATTCATCATCTCCATGTCACCTATGGAACAAAGCTACCCTGCACCTCTCCTGGCTCTGTCTGCCTCAGCCACCACTTGTTCTCCCCACCCCCACCAGAGAAGCCTGTCTGGAGGATGGGTCTCTGCTCCCCCTCAGTCACATCAAAGGGCATGCACCAAGGCCCATATTTCCACACTGTTAACTCCAGTGAGTCTTGGGAGCAACAGCACCTAGCCACTGTCCCTCCCTCCTCTCTGAAGTCCACTGTCTGTGGCTTTCAGGGTGGGAGCCCCTCCTGGTTTTCTTCTTGCATCTGGTGACTCCTCAGTCCCTGTGTGGAACTCTGGTCCAGCCACTGGCCTTCATCTCCATTCTCTGAGCCTTCCCTCTGCCTCAGTTCTGCAGGTGATCTCTTCAACTACCTGGTGCTACCCCTTGTCTCCACCTGATACTGACCAGGCATTTCAAACCTGACAGGGTCAAAGCCATATGCCTAACCTTTCTCTGGCATCTAGCCTCAATATTCTTGGCCCTTCCCCTGCCACCCTATACTGGGAAGAGGCCCTTTCAGTTCTAACTTCATTCCATCAGGAATCTGAACATCCTCCCCAGTTGAGCCACTAAGATCTTTTTCTGTTAATCGCTGTAGCCTCTTAACAGGCTGCCCCCAACTCCTGTTCTCCATGGTCTAGGGTCCTAGAACAGGCAGAGGGACCCTGGAAAGCAAAGTCTGGCAATACTACTTCCTGAGGCTAGGGTTATAGCTCAGCAGTAGAGCACTTGCCTTGAATTTTTAAGGTACTGGGTTCAAACCTCAGCACCACATAAAAAATAAATAAAATAATGCATCCATCTTTAAACAAAACAAAACAAAACAAACAAAAAAACCCTCTGATCCTTCCTGTCTCATCCTGGATAAAGTAAAGGTCTGACTGAGCCCAGTAGCTCCATGAGGCCTATTTCTGGGACCACTATGAACACATCCCTATCCCTCTCTCTCCTCTTGTTCTCCTCCATTAGTGAGATTGCCCCTTCTCTGGCTGCCATGTGGTTCTTGGGGTAAACTAAGGGTTTCTGCACTTGCTATTCCCTCTGCTTGGATGTTCCTTGCCAAGTTCCCACATGGCAACCCCTCATTTCCGAATGGCTCTGACCAACTGGCACCTGCCTAATGAGGAATTTCCGGAACTCCCTCCTCCCACACTGCACCTTTGGCAGGCCTATCTTATCCTGTTTATTTTTCTCCAAGGACTTATCCAGCAAAAACTGTGCTAGTGTGGGTCATTCCAATACAATATTCACTCCATCATCCCAACACTATAAAATCCTAAACTTTCTTAGATGACTGTAATCAATTTTAATCCTAAAAATGTTTACCATCCCACCTGAAAAACCGCTCTATGCTAATCTAGGTGTCTGAGTCATCTGAGGCACATACATGCTGCTGGTGGCTCTGCCTAGGCCAATGCACAGCAGTGTACTGTTCTGCCCAACTCATCATGTCCCTTCCAAATGGGACTACCCAGAACATCCAGGGTCCATGTGTTCAGCGAGGCACATCTGATCTCCTAGCCTCAAAGACACGTGAAAAAATAGAACTATCAAGGTTCAGGGTCCCATCATGTGTCATAACTGGCAGGGGAAAGGGAGTACTGTTTCCTTTTGCTAAACTAAGAACTTTACATACCATATGCCTACTCTTTTTGCAGCTAAAGAACTATTAGCTCCATTCAGCTCGTGAGGAAACAGACCGAGACCCGAGATAGGAAAGCCACTTGCCAGAGTTCTCAAAGCTTGTACCAAGGGAGGGTTATATTCCTTCCAGGTGGCCCAATCACAGGCCTGTGCTCTAGGATCCACAGCATCCCAGCAAGGATAAGCCGCAAGGCAGGCAGTGCTCACCCATGTGCTACTTCACCGTGGAAGGAATTCCAAAGAAGCAAAGTGTCTATCTTTTGAGGGATGACAGTGTGTTAGTATGTCTAGTATTAGATTTCTTTCTTCTTTATTAAGGCAGTGATTTCTGATTAGAGGCCTTCAGTACATGCTACGTATGAATCTTAATGGCTGGCAGAGAACATGACATCCCTGAAATACAAGCCATGGGCAATTTGAAGGCATTTACAGGTACTATTTTCCTGACGCCATAATCTTCCCAAGAAGAAAATAACAGATGCTTGAAAAGCAGGGCAGAGTGGGGGCCATGACTCTTCCTGTTCCATTAAGTTTACTTAATGTATGTCAATGTTTTGTTCCTGAAAGTTCTCTGTTTTCTGGAGGCAGGGAGCAAATGCTTCATTAACATTGGATATGGAGAAATAACCAAAACCCCAATACTAACATGCCTATGGGGTACTCACAAAGGGTTTCCAGGGATATATATAAAAGTGTTATAAGCAATGGTGATAAAGGATCCTTGCTCTAATGTGTTCTTTTTTCTGTTTGTAAGCAGATTAGACCAGTAATGAGTAGATAAATCCACTAGAGTTATCTGTAGTGTCACTTGTTTAAATATAGCTTTGCTAAGGTTCACCAAGACCCATGCCCTAATCTTCAGGTAACAGAAGGTCAGCCTTTACTGTATCAGCAATGCTCATCACAACCCAAGCTCCAACTCAGACCTGCTGTGTGATCTTGGGCAGTCACATAACCTCTGGCTTCCTATCAAAGACACTGGTGAAGAAACAGAACTGTCAAGGTTCAGGGTCCCATCATGTGTCATAACTAACAGGGGAAAGGGAGCGCCATTTCCTTTTGCTAAACTGAGAACTAAGTAGGGAAAATACTTACTTGAATTGTCTTACTATTTTAAGAAACTGGTCATCACTGTATAAAGCACATTGCTCTTCCACAAAACCTTCTGGGTAAAATTCATAACAATCATCGTTAGACTTCTGCGATGCGCTGAACTTAGTTGTAGAATGCATTATACGTGTCCCACTATGCCTGTCATTGTTGACCACCATAACCTTCTGTCAATGGCTACAATGGCTCTAGGGGATTCTTGGACAGCAAGAACTATAATCTTCTATCCCCACCTCACTTAATCCCACCCTAAAGAGAAGTTTGAATTTTCTTACTTGTATCTGATCTTTTCATCCATGTCTTGAGGTGGTTCTTCTATAATGAATGAGACTAAATCTTCGAGACATTCTGCTTTTAACAGAAACTCTATAAGTTTGCGGTTCTGAGCTTTACATTCCTGTAAAACATCTTCCTCATCCATTAACTCCTTCAGTGTTACATCTTCTCTTTCTAGAAGTGTGTCTATGTGGGATGATGAGTGAAGATCAAATTTCCAAAACATGCTGGTCTAAACAAAATGCAGAGAGTAGTTCATAAAATGTCAACTTTGCATATTAACTTTCCATACTTCAAATTTCAGTTCAGTTTTACAATCTAAAATGCCAACTTGGCTCACATCTAAGTAAAATAAATTTTAAACTGAACCTATAAAATACTTTTTTAATGAATAACACTGGCAGGATTTTTTCCCCACACTCAAAAAAAAAGTTTTTCGTGGTTTAAAAAAAAAAAAAAAGTTGATTTGAAAATGCTCTAAGCTAAAAAACCTGGGGTGTTCTTAACCTGTAAAAGTAACTCATCCACACTTTGCCAGAAATTTAATGATGGGAAAGGCAGAAAGTAAGCCATTCCTGAAGGGCAAAGAACACACTCTCACACAGAAGTACTGTCTTCAGGAACCAATGACAAGTGATGGGGCCTAACTAGGACACTGGAGTATGAAGAAATTAAATCACCTCTGTAAACCCACACTTTTAGCCTCTGACAGCTCATGAAAGAACCTGAAATCATAAAATGATAAAACCTGTGCAATTGTTAATATAGAAACTAAAAACTGGAACCTAACTCCGGAAGAACCAGAGGTTACTAGGAAAAACACTTTTGACAATCAAATTTAAAATAATCACGCCACAATGCCACATGTATACTCCTTCCTCCAGTTCATCTCCTCCACCCCCACCCCCCCCACACACACAAGGAAAACATGTTTCTTTTCTTCAAGTTACAAAGAATTAAAAAAAAAAAAAAGGCACTCAGTTGTTACAAATGGAAACATGAACAGGGGGCCCACAACTCAATCTAATGGCTACTATAATGAGGTGACCTCAAAGGCTACTTCGGGCCCATAGGTAAGAAGATGATAGCAAGAATCAAAGTCTTCAGTAGGAACAGGACCATTTCAAAGCCACTACTATCTGTTAAAGATGCTCACTGCAGAATTCCTAAACCTGAGTTCTGTGAGACTTACTTATGCCACATAACCCCAATCAATACCCTGGCATCTTCTGGTGCTTCCCTTCCTACCCCATCAGTGTCCCCATTATCATCATCACCAAAAAAGCATGCCCGTATTCACAGGGGACTAAAGAAGAGTCCTCGATAAAGGAAAAGAAGGTCATAACCTATGAAAAAAGCACACGTATTTTTCTAAATATATATTTACTACATCTACCCATATTAGCTCAGGTAGGAACTTATCCTGATTTGATGCTCTCATGAACATCTGCCCCCAAATAATTTTTTAGACAATAGAGATCATAGAGAGCAAAACTTAATTACACTGCTGGTCAACCTGATCAATCCAGAATTAAAAAAGAAAAACTACACCAAAGCATGTTACTCCAGATCTGCAAAGGCATATCTACTTCACACGATGGGCTGCAGAACACTGGACTTCACTGGTAAGTATATGATCATAGCATTCAAAATATGATGGTTTAAAGGAAGCACAAAAAAGCTCTGTAACAAACAAGTTTTAGATGAAAATACCATGAAATATAAAGAGCATTATAAATCATCTCTGTTTAAAAAATCTTTACATACTTTCATGGAGACATGGCAATATGCTCAATCAATTAGCAGCAACAGCACTGATACTGTTTTCAGATGAGCAGTCGCCACACTGGTTCACCCAGCTGAGACTCTCAACACCTCACTCAAGAAGAATCCATACGGGGGCTGCCATTTGACACGAAGCTCCATGGGATAACACAAAGCAGGGGCCTACAGTGTGATGAGGCACAGCCATCTCTTTCCTCCTAGTAATTAGGCTGGTAATTATGTGCAGACAACATCACAGAACATGCTGGAGAAGCACAATTCCCATAGAGGCTATACTCACATGCTACCAAGCAACCTTCAGGATGGGAGCAAGAGGGCACCCTATAAGACTATTGCTAGTGAAGGAAACAGTAACCTGCTTCTACAATTATTAAAGGAAGTGGAGCAAAGATGACATACAAGTAACAGGAAAGGAATTTTGGGGAAAAGGTCAGTGGACATAAACCTCGGACATAAATTTCTTTTTGTTTTCGGATTTGTGGGAAATGGCAAGAAAAAAAAAAGTTTTCATGCCATCTTATCCTAGTAAAACAGACAAACAGAAAAAAGAAAGACAAAAGGATACCAAAAGGTAAATACAATCGAGGCAAGGGGTGAATCCTGTTTTACGTTCCTATGAAAATGAAGGAAAGAAGTTGTCCCTTTTTGGAGGACACAAAGTAATACTATCAATACCATCTACAATGCTTCTGCCAAAGTAACGCAACTCATTTATCTGTGAATTCTTAAAAATCAAACTCTTTTTTAATAAGTGTATTTTTAATCACTCTTCCCCATACCTAGTATTAGAACTTGCAATGACTAAATGAGCCCTGAGCGGCATAGTGTCCTGAAACAGGAGCATGTGTGTCCCTGGCTGGCTGACAGACTTTAAGCATGAACTAACCTGCGCCATCTTGTAAGGATATAAGTGAGAAGAAGGCACTAGTTTAGCTAAGTAGCAAAATCACCTTGAAGAATCCCCTCCAAAAAACTAATCATTTATATCAGGTCACCTTGTCTCATCATGAAAACTCATCATGAATATTTTGGTCCTAGAATGTCTGCAGATCAACTACTTCATTTGACTTATTTTAAATACTTCAGCAAAACAAAGGTCCTCATATAAAGGTATAATGATACCACATACAATGAAACACTTTCATACACATGTCCAGTGTTATCAGGTCAGAGTATAACTCAAGTCTGAAAGTCAAATTTCTAGTAATTTGATACATTCTACACATGAAGTCAGAAACAAGGCATAGTTAAAAATTTGACCTGAAGACTTTAAAAATAAGTTGATCTCATTTAAAAAGTACGAAGTCTTGACTTCATAATGGCTGCCAATCTTACTGGAGTGAGATGGTTTCTTAGGGTGGTTTTGATTTGCATTTCTCTGACTGCTAGAGATGGTGAGCATTTTTTCATGTACTTGTTGATTGATTGTATGTCCTCCTCTGAGAAGTGTCTGTTCAGGTCCTTGGCCCATTTGTTGATTGGGTCATTTGTTATCTTATTGTCTAATTTTTTGAGTTCTTTGTATACTCTGGATATTAGGGCTCTATCTGAAGTGTGAGGAGTAAAGATTTGTTCCCAGGGTGTAGGCTCCCTATTTACCTCTCTTATTGTTTCTTTTGCTGAGAAAAAACTTTTTAGTTTGAGTAAGTCCCATTTGTTGATTCTAGTTATTAACTCTTGTGCTATGGGTGTCCTATTGAGGAATTTGGAGCCCGACCTCACAGTATGTAGATCGTAGCCAACTTTTTCTTCTATCAGACGCCGTGTCTCTGACATACAAGAGGAAGTGAGGGGAAAGGGAAAAATAATACAAGGGGGAGAAATGAATGACAGTAGAGGGGGTAGAGAGAGAAGAGGGGAGGGGAGGGGAGGGGGATAGTAGAGGACAGGAAAGGCAGCAGAATACAACAGACACTAGTATGGCAATATGTAAATCAATGGATGTGTAACTGATGTGATTCTGCAATCTGTATACGGGGTAAAAATGGGAGTTCATAACCCACTTGAATCAAAGTGTGAAATATGATATATCAAGAACTATGTAATCTTTTGAACAACCAACAATAAAAATTTAAAAAAATGTACTAAGTCTTTATTTTTTGTGATCCTATACATAAAGGCAAAGAATTATGAAAAGTACTAAGAAAAGCATCAAAAAAAAAGCAAATTCAATAAAATACTACTAGCTACCTAAAACAAGATACATTAATCAAGTAAGAACTAAAAATGTCTATAAACCAAATAGTTATAATATGAATCAACATGATTTATCTACCTCCAGTAAAAACTTGATTTCTAAAATCTTAACTGTATAAAGGAAACTCAATAAATACTGGATAATTAATTAATCATAATAAACTAAGGAGTTGGCAAACCCAGACCCAATCCAACCCACAACCTTCCAGTTAAGAATAGTTTTAACATTTTTAAAGAGTTGTTTTAGAGAAAAAAGATTATGTGACAGAAACCATCTGTGGATTGCAAAGTCTAAAATATTTACTACTGGATCCTTTACAGAAAAATGTGATGTCCACTTTTGCTCCAAAGGGAGAAGCCCCCACTGACACCTGCTTTCTGCCCTCTCCTGAATCCACCAACAGCTCTCAACTCTGCACCTGCATGCAGACAGCAAGTACTCTTCCCCTGGAGCACTCGCCTAGGCAGTTCCCAACTGCCTACAACAGGAGGACAGGTTTCCTCCAAGGTACCATGAACCATAAAACCTCCACACTCTTTCCATCTAGCTGGATATCAGTGACCAAAAGGGCCCTTAAGAATGAAATTGGTCCCAAATTGCCACGTGGTAGAAAATTGCCTGCCAATCTGAGCACTGTGCCCAGGCTGTTGGAATGAGCTGGAGCAACATTCCCAGCAGCAGAGCCATCCTTACATGGCCCTGTGCTCCAATTGATTGATCCACATGACCCAGGCCCTCCAATCACCCACCTGTGACTTTGTGTTTTACTACACTTATTTTGAGCACAAGATTTAAACACCAGGAAACTTTTTTTTCCCTTAAGCAATTATTAAATGACTAATTCCCTTTTTTTCCTCAATTATCCTAAGCTAAAATAGCATTTTTTTTTTCAAATCCCAACACTGAAAATGACATTTCCACAGTGAGTTCTTTATATTGGCATACCACTAACTCAAAATCAAAATGTAAACCACAGTAGACTCTGTAAACAGTATGTATTTTACCTTTTAGCCAAACAGCAAGTGACTGGAAACACATGACACTGGTAAATTATTTACTCCTGACTTGGCCCCTGCTTCTATTTGTGCCCTTTGAAGTAGAAAGAAGCAACTACAAAGTTCAACTGCCTGCACTGAGGTCAAATGAAGTCCTTTAAAAAATATTACTCTGGGCTGGGGATGTGGCCCAAGCGGTAGCGCGCTCGCCTGGCATGCGTGCGGCCCGGGTTCGATCCTCAGCACCACATACAA